TACTAGGCCCACACCTCTCAAAATTTCCCTAGATTTGTGGGTACGGTAGTGGTGGAGAATAGGTCAAATCAAGCATTGTTTGTCAGTATTTACCTGTCATCCCAAAAAGGAATCTTGTGGTTCAATCCAACCAGTTTCCTTCCACAAGTCATAATCATGATGCAACACAGTCCCTTAGCTCAACTGTAAGTGCTCTTGTCTCGAATTTGACTTGAATCCAGCAGCTCTTGGGTTCAAATCCCTCAGGAGCCCTTTTTGAAGGCTGCGGGTCAGGTACCGCAGTATTACGGGTACATGTAACGCCGCGGGTGGCGGTATTCACGGTGTCGACAAAATCACCTACCGTACCTGCACCCGCAGCACCCTCACCCGTAATACCGCGGGTTTGCCCAAGCCCGTGCCTTTCACTAGTGGGGATTCGTTCCGATGTTTTGTCAGAGCTCCGGTCGTTCCGTTACTCCGGCGGTCCGATGCGCTCCGGGAAGACGGAGCGCGATCGGAGCCGGAGGGACCGATCGGAGTAGTTTGTTGGAGGTCATGGTGCATGGATATAACAGGTTTGGTGCGAATAACGTATAGCAGACCGTTGTCGGTGGGGACGTCGGCGGCGACGTTGAACCCGGTGTCGCTGGCCTGGATCTCGGCTAAGAGAAGCAAATAAGACCAAGGATAAAGAAAAGAGCGTGTAATAAACACTTACCGCTGGAGATGCGGTTTTTGAGTTTCAAGGTGGAATCAAGAGCCTTGGCCAAAGCATTGACCACCGAGGGCTTGTTGACCGAGTAGTCGTATTCGGGGACGACGGAACCGGCAGAACGGTTGGGCATGTGTTTGACGCGGACGCGGTCATCGTCGTGGTCGGACTCGGGTTTGGCCTCCTCCTGAATGACTTTAGCAAGGGAATTGGGCGTAAGAAAGGGACTTACGGTTTTAACGCGGGCCCTCTTCTTGGCCGGGACCTTGGCGACGGGGACAGGCTAGGGAAGCGGAGTCAGAAAAAGCACAAAGATATGAAATAAAAAGACTAGGGGAAACGTACCGAGGGCACACGTACTAAGCCCTCCGGGGATCGTCCGCGCTTGAGACTGGAGACAGCAGGACCCTCGGGACTTGTCGAAGCCACGACGGCGCGGGTGCACAGCGACATTGATGGACCCGCACCAGGAGTCGGAGCCGGAGTAGCCACAACATCCTTGGCCTTAGCCTTGGATTTGGGCTTGGGCGTCAGCTCATTAAGTTACGATTTCGCGAAACATGTCGGGTTATGCCGTAGAACGTTTTGCGAAATGTTTCGGCAAGCCATTTAAGGAAATATTAAGCCACCAGAAAAGAGTGGCAAAAGCAAGGATTGAACCGGAGACATGGACGGTGTTGATTGCATAATCCAAGTCACATCAGTGGGTTGCACCATAACCACCTAGGCTATCATTGCTGTTCCCTTCTGCTTTTTTGATTGCCTTTAGGACTACCCCTGAGTAGGGATAACAAATCTCCAAAACTACAAAAACAATATCCCTGGGGACCCTGACTCTAACCAACCCTAACCTAACCCAAACCTTAACCAACCCTCACCATAACCCACACCTTAACCACCCAACCCTAACCTGTGTGAGGTGGACAACCTAGTTTCTTCACTAAATGCTGATTCTGTGCTTAAAAAACATATGATGTGTGGCCATCATCTGAGCAGGCCTTCATGCACTCTTGGCTCACTTGGTTACAGCGCTGCCTTCTTGGTTGATGATGTAATCCATTCCGTTTTGCATTCGTGGGTTCGAATCCCCCTCTTTTAATCCTTTTACAAGGTATCCCGAAACATTTCGCAAAACGTTCTACGGCATAACCCGATATGTTTCGCGAAAAAGTGGCCTACTGAGGTGTGGGCGTGGACGTGGACGCGCGAGTCGACACGGGAGGACCCACCTTGGCAGAGCGTGGCGTTGACGAAGGAGGACCAAGGTGCACAGCACCCGGTGCCCGCTTCGCCACATCCACCTTGCCGCCAGGTCGGTTGTCGGGGGACATGAAGTCGACTCCGTCCAAAGGGTGTTCGGCTGAGATACTGTAGGCCTGGGCGAACGTCACCTTGTCGGGGAAAGCTTGGAGCTTGGGCGGGGCGATGAAAGGGATTTCGAACCCCTTGTCCAACGGCTTGAGGTCGGGGTCCTGCGCAAACAAGGCTTAGCTAAAAAGACAAAAGCAAAGAAAAATGGAGCAACGGGCGTACCTCCAGCGGCACGAGCTCCCACCAAGTAAACGGGACCGCGTCGAGTTTCTGCAGAATATAGCGAAGGGGGTGCATAAAGCGAATGAAAGACGGTGGGACGTTGAACTCCTCCGACTGCTGGCGGAGGTAACGCTAAACAGAAAAAGAGCCCTTAGTAAAAGACAGGCTGAGGGATTGGGGCAAAACCAGACTTACCAGGACGGGGAAAGCAGAGGTGACAGCCTGCCAAAGCTCTGGTTTCGTTGCGGAGGCGATTTTCTGGGGTTCCAGCAGATAACTAGTGAGGCCAGATGCCGACTTGTGGTTGAGAGCCGACCAGATAGGGTGGACCGCGGCGGTGGTCATTGGAAATGTAACAGACGGGTGGTTGGTGGTAGAGAAAGAGAACGGGGTTGGGGGGAAGCGAGAGATGGTGGTGGTTGAGGGAAGAGAGACGGGGTGTGAGAGTGGCGGGGCGCTGCGGTTTTGAGCCATGACTCAACGCGCAGCCAGGCACTGAGAAGACTCTAAGCGAGAGATTCTCGCCTTCGAATAAAGTTTAAACATACCAAAAATAGTGCTAAGTCACGCTTTTGGCTGAGGACGCGGCTAAGCGGCTAGGCTATTTTGCACGGCGAGGGCCTAGCTGGGGCTCTTGGAAAACGAACTTGGGTGTCAATGGGGAGCAAATTCAATGAAGAATTTAATGAACGCACGGGACAGGGGCTTAGTTTGACTTAAACGGTCAGAAATTGCTTAATCAAGACCCCGATCAAAGTCTTAGTGTGGGCGCCTATTTTGCTTCCGCGGGCGCGGAGTCGTCGGATAAACATACATGTGACTTGGCGCGGTGATACAAATCATTATGCTTGGCCAAATAATGGCTTAGACGTGTATCCAAGCTCAAGTCGAATGAATCAAACAGGGAAATGGCTAGGAAATACCAAGCTAAATAAGAGACAGAGCAACTGGTTGACTGGGGGCAGTCAATATTAAAAATTTGGGGGAGATGATAAGCCGTGAATCGAAACACACCGAAATATGTGTTTTTTGGTATTTTAACCACACGCATGATCCAAATAAGGACTAACGTGTATCCCGCACGGTTAGTCAAAAGACATACCAAGGCTATAAGCTGCAACTCGTTTGCGGCTCACTTATCAGAAAACTGCACATACTGAATAAGGGATTGACGACGAGTACCGCTTGGGCAAGGCTGAATATTGGTTCAGAAGCCACTTTGGGGTTCTACTTTACTAAGGGATAAGCTAAGACGCACTCTGTTGATTATTGGTCTAAGGGAATTTCTCCTTAGACGGACCTTTCGAATTGTTGAATAATGTTTACAACCGAGACGCGACGCGTTCCGTCACATGACCAGACCATGCCTTAGACAAGGTATTCAATACCAGCTAAGGCGGCTAAACGGCCAAAGGTCTTGGCAATACACCGATCAAGTGTCACTTATAAATAAGCACGATATTGATGATGCGAGTCTAACTTGCGAACTAACTTACCAAATTGGGAGTTCGGGTGTCCACAAGAAGCCCGGGCTCTGAGCATCTCAGGATAAGGCTTCGACCACTGGGGACATTACCAGTTACTGGCCCGAGGCTCAAGGAAAAGAGCTTACCAACCGGGCGATCGAATTAGGAACCGATCTGACAACATGTCCCGCAACTAAATAACTTATTAGGGGTTGGGATAATGTTTGAGCCTGCACAACTGTATTGAGCTGACACTACTGTACTTAATAGTTCTCGGATAGATACCCGCAGTAGCATAATAGCGCACATGTAATACGTTTTGAGTAGATATAAAAGGAGGGTAGAATTAGTAGGATAGGCACTGGATCCTCCCGAAAAGAGCAGGTAGCAATAAAGCACTGCGTACCAGGGGAATTCTAGGGCTTGTTCAGCTAAGGCTAACTCACATAACGAGTTTAGTTTGATAATAACAAGTTTCATTTTGGAATTGGATTTCGGACTTTAAGTCAACCCATAAAACCCACAACCTCACCGTGTTACCAGACAAAGAGAGTTTCAGACAAAGCGAGTTCCAGACAAAGAAAGTTACCAGACATAGCGAGTTTCAGACAAAGAGAACACAGACTTGACCCAGACAAAGAGAATCGGACGTTACATAGCTGTGAGGCTTTAAAATCTAACAAACTGCGACTAAGGCGTTCAGAACTCTGTTCAACTCCTATTCGAGCCAAACTTGTGCTAAGGCACGCAACTCATACAAACAAACTTGCTCTCGAACTCTGGTCCTCGTCCTTGGAAGTACATTCGTGTAATCTTGGACAAGCAATCACAACTCGTCGGCGAATATAGACCTTGAAAGGGGTGTGAAGGTGTTAGATTTGGTTAGTAGTTGTTAGTTGGTGTAGCCATTCTTCGGATTAGGCTTAGCCAGTGAAGCATTCTGCTCGTCGTCTTTAGCATTATATAGCATTTTGGTCTGTTTCCCGAGCACACGTTTCAACGGATGGGTCATATTTATACGTGGCGCCAACCGGGGACGGTCGGCATTCAAAAGTGGGGAGGAGATGTGAGCTATCACTTTGTGATACGCTCCCTCTGTGGCTGAAAAAGGCAAACACGCACTACAGAGCATGCACAGAAAAAGGAACGACCTGACCTCGAATCGAACGAGGTCTCGCATTTGAATATTACGAGGAAAATTCGACTGCAAATGCGTGCGTTACCATTACGCCACCAGGTCTACACTACAAACACCAAAGAAAAGGAGTCGACCCACGGGAAAACAAAGTCACCAGGACTGGCGTACACGACCTGACCTCGAATCGGATGAGGGTCTCTCATTTGAATATTACGAGGAAAAGCACAGTAAATGCGCGCGTTACCAGTTACGCCACCAGGCCTACCACTGCAAAAATCCCCAAATCGCCATGGTCCTCACGAAAATTAACAAATCGACATGATGCATACGCAGAACACGGAACGGGAAACATCACCGACACGGAGCACTGTACGGAGTACGGAAAGTGTCGCCACACGGAAGACACACATATCAAAGCTACGGAGTACGGAAATTGGGCGCATGGGCAGCAACGTTACAGTCCGTGAGTTAGGTATCTCCTTCAAGCGCACGGGAAAGCATGGAGATCCCCACTGCGAGGCAAGGAGGGCAGTGTCGAAAGGGGTCCGTGGACGAATGAGTAATAAGGTCGCGCGCAGCGGTCGGAAAGAAATTAGTATAAAAGCAGGGACGTCCGTAGAAGAATGCATCTTATTACCTCCCACTGCTCATACCTAAGCTACTCCCCCTCGATCATACGGGGTGAGAATCTAGTCAAATACATAATCGCTCAGGTTGCGCCGCCCTCTATGGGACCAACCAAGGTCAACTTGGGCCAAAGCTTCAATCAAGGAGGCTTGTCCGTAGTACTTCTGGCTTAATAGAACGAGCCAGAGGGAATTATAGAAAACATCGGCGTTGATAGCTCGCGTGGTTGTAGAACACGCGGCGAAACGTCTAAACGGCCAGCAGCCCAACTTAGCAGCGTGTAACCGTTGGCTTGGGCCTCGAACGCAGATCCGTGCGCGGAGTACCACCCCCATTGTCGCGGAAGGCTTATCTGATTCGATTATAACCACTCCACGATTCATTCTCACCATTTCGCCACACGCACGCCCACGGAATTGACACTCCTTGGCCGTACCACCACAGCGTAGAGAAAAAGCCGGGTTACAAAGGACTATAACCCATACGCGTTGTGTTCGACAGTTCTGAAGATACTGCTTGCCCACCCTATACGAGGCAAGGAGATAAGAAAAGGAACCATATAGCCCAGGCATCTTGACACGGAACGGTGTTCATCTTGTGGAGCGTTGCCCTTCGCGCAAGTGTAGAAAACCCTCTGATCAAAGCTTTCCTGGAAGGCTAGCCCCCAACGAGGAAATAAATCCTCGAGGAACCTAGCGAAACTGTTCATTCCGTGCGGAAGGAACTGTACCACCACCACCACAATTTTAAATACATAACATCGCGTGTACTACCGTAGCAGACAAATCTCCGCGACAGAGAAATTTCCCTCTAGAGGACGAACTAATTTCGTGCTTTTTGCCTGACTATACGCGGGATCTTGAATACCCGACGAGATCTTGGATGCCAGAGTAGAGCTCTTGAATGCCCAGAGAGAGCTCTTGAATGCCCAGAGAGAGCTCTTGAAGACTCTTGAAGCTTGAAGACCCGAGGAGGAACCCTTGAAGATGGGTCCTGAATGCTCGACAGTCATTGAGGACAGCCAAATTGAGGCTTGGTTATGTGGCCGATTGCATGAACCTGGGATGTGCGGATTTGAAGACTGAGCTCAAATAATAGAAGGCCGGAGACTGGTCGAGAGCCGGATAACTGGGTAGCAGACGGGGGCACAGCAGCGAGGTGGACGAGGGGATGGTGTGCGGAAGAGGCAGAAACGCTGTTGACGTGGCATCAATATCAACCAACATTCATCAATCACGGGATTTGATAGCGCGGGCCGCTCTGACGCTCGGCAATCGACTGGTCAAATTTTACGTTTGACTCGGAATCGTTCCTGCGCACTTTCTACTGAGACTGAGGGTTGCTCTACTCACACTTGCAAAAACTATTTCTCCTTTGATCGGCATCAAGGAAAACCAGCAGGAAATTACTACTAACTAGTACTAAGTAAATTAACCAACCTCGGCCGCCGACTCGGAGTCAACTTGGTGATTCAATGAAAGTGGGGGAGGATTCGTTGAACACACCATTCAAGAAGTATTGGCGTGGTAAAATCAGCTTCATCAATTCAACTTTCGGGGGGTTTCCCAAAAGCCTGATCGCGGCAGTAGGCAAGGGAAGCCATGTAACACTCTGTAGATATACTGCAAGGTAGTGTAGCACTGTGTATCTGTGGTGCAGCAATATGTAGCCTACAAATCCTCTGTAGCTGCTATAGCTTGGCGTAGAGATCTGTAGATCTTTGTAGCGCTATCTAATCAACCGGCGTGCTACGGCCCGAAGGGCTTTTCCTGATGTCGACTGGCTGACCCATTGCGAATTTGCGACACTCTATCGAACTCGCCATGGAGAATGTCGTCACCAGCGCCCTCGGGAAATGCCCGAGATAGTACTTTGTATAGCACAGGGTTTCGGCCGAGGTCGGTTGACTTGAATTGGACTTGAAAACACTGAAGCCGTCAATAAGCTTGAGCGCCATGTGCGACACTTGTAGTCGCCGTTAATGTAAAAACGGTATACTTAGAAAGCGGGGTAGTGTTACAGTGGTCAGTTAGCAGAATGCTTGGTGCGAAACCGGAGAGCAGAAGTGCAGCCAAGCTCAGGGGCCGAATCACTGGAAAGCCTGAAGTACATGGCAGCTTGGAGGGACGACGAGGCAAAGATTGCACCCTTGGAGAGGATCATGATGTTACTCCTGATTTGGGAATCATCAGCGTGGAGGCAGTCAAAGTTTATGGCCACCGTGATACTGAACTTGTACTGAACATACGCAGAAAGACAACTTATCCGTCGGGCATTGCAGCTGCCATTGCGCTGCCAGTGGAGGTTGATGGGAGCGAGATAACGATGGGATTGATGGGATCATTCCGGATCCGACATCTGCCGCAGAAAAACACTGCGGTTGAATGGCGCCAATGAATTTACGAGTCTTAATAACGTGTTCAGATGTGGGCGACCGCGATCGATGGTACTTATCTCATCCGAAGGGCCTGTGGGATTTGATACTTTCTACCAGAAAAAACAGAGCATCATCCGTTGTTCGAGAGAGAAATAGTCACGTCTTGGGCCAGTCTATGCCGTATTCCCAACATAAATTGTCTCAGACTGGACTGTCTGTGCCAGAATAGGGGCAGTCAGAGTAGCCGATTCTAGCCGATTCTGACATCGATTCTGCTGTCGATTTTGAGTCGATTCTGGCAATTAGAATCGTGTGAGAATCGGTCCAGAATCGCCTCAACTCTGACCGCCCCGATTCTCGGTCCGATTCTTGTCAAATTTTCGTAACCAGGTGAAGAGAAACAGTCGAGAATCGTAATCGTAATCCAGAATCGTCGTCGAATCGCCTCCAGAGTCGCTTCGACGATTCTGGCCGATTCTGATATTCCGACGATTCTCGGCGATTCTCTCACGATAAATAATTCCAGAATCGACTCGTAATCGACCTCATAATCGGCGTCAGAATCGGCGAGAATCGCCTACTCTGACTGCCCCTAATATATGGAGGTGGATTCTACAACAAATGAGGTACGAGTTTATCGTTGTAACGTCTGTTTATAAGAGACTAAGGTGGATTCCACATCCCGATTTTGTGTGTAACAAATTTAGTTCGTTCTCAGAGCCCTTGGGACGCTCTAGAAGCATGCACGTAACACCGCCTGTGAGTCGCTCCAACCATCCTTTCCAAGGTCACGGAGCCGCGCACGCCGGGGATAGTCCGTTGAGTGCCTGGCCAAGGAATGTGTGATCCTGGAAGCCGCCGGCCTCGTCGCCCTCGACTACTAGAGTTCCCTTGGCTCTGACCAAGGTCCGGCAAGATAATGTTGTCAGCGTTCGTGTGCCGCGGATCAACGGAACAGTACCTTCCAAGTAGAAGTATCGGCCCCGTGCTACTGCCTCGGCGCTGCGCTTTCATCCACCCAAACACCACAACCTCGTCGTATTCTACCCTCATCGAGCTCGCGACCGTACACTGTGCATATGGAACACAGTGGCATCCCAATGATTGACTTCTCGGCCTTCCTGGATGGATCCGCCAAGCAAGAAGTCGGAGACAAAATTGTAGCCGCCTTCAAGGATATTGGCTTCGTGTACCTCACGAACCACGGTATCCCTTCGAAAGATATCGCGGAAATGTTTGCACTGGTGGGTCTTGAAGTTGTCCTCCATCTCGCAAACGAGTTTGAGGGCTCACCGTCCCCAGGTCAAAAAGTTTTTCGCCCAGCCAATGGAGGTCAAAGAACTCGCTCCGCATCCCGCCTCGGGAGCCCATCACCGAGGTATTCAAACGAAAAGGCGTGATCAAACTAAGGCTGACGCTGGCGCAGGTTACTCACGTCCAGGCCGAGAGAAGGTCGTCCACGACGAGTACGAGGCTGACAAAATTTCGGAGGCTCGCGCCCTAGTCCCTGACGTAAAAGAGAGCTTTGAATGTGGACGCGAGGGAGACCCGATACAGGCAAACATCTGGCTTCCCGAGGGCGTATTTCCTGGCTTCGAAGAAACATGCCTTGATTTCTTCTGGGTGAGGAATGAGGACTCCCCCCACCTTCCCTCGCTGACGGGATTTATCTATGCTCAGCTTTGCCACAAAGTGGAAAATAATATTCTCCGCGCTCTCGCCATCGGTCTCGCCCTTCCGGAGGATTACTTCCTTCAATACCACACCGTGGCCGATAACCAACTCCGTCTGTTGCATTACCCTAGGTGCGTAATATAATCTATCCTCCATTCTCTTCATTTAAGATAAACAGTGTCCCGGCGGGAGACCTCGCCGCCGATAAGATTGCGCGGATCGGAGCGCACACAGATTACGACTCCATAACCCTCCTGCTTCAAGACGATGTCGGGGGGCTCGAAGTCGAGGACCCACGAGAACCGGGATTATTTCGGGTAACTCAGGCTCCCCTTTCCTTCCCCAAAAACAACTCTGACGGTGCTCTGCTCAAACAGCCCGCACCACCTGTTCCTGGGACCCTCATCGTAAACGCGGGAGACTTTTTGATGCGATGTCGGTTGTTTCTGCCTGCCTGTGCAGGCTTCGTGGCTTACAACAATAACCTGGACAGGGTCGAACGATACTATTCGGAGTACAATGCACCGTGTGCGGGCTCCAACGAGTATGGTGAACATGAGCGGAATGATCCCAGAGAGATACTC